CCTTCATGCCTCCCAAAGATTCCATCCAGGGCCTCACATACTGCTGGGGCTCCCACGAATGTAGCACTATGAATGGAGGGAGATGCTGGCCGCACCTCTCAGGTAGGGAATTGCCTTGCCTCCATCAAACTACTAGAGACCACACAGTTCCATGTCCCAGGTGACAGGCAACTGAGCTGGGCCTCTCTCCAAGGTGCCTAGTTCCTGAATGTCACTGCATAGCCAGGTACCCTCTAGGGAAAACTCATAAGAACATACAAGCAGATAACTAGAGATAGCAACACGCCTTCTGTCTAAATGACTGAACAACATTAAAAAGGTAGTCCTATCAAATTGGAGCTCGGGGAACCCACACAAGAAAATGCTGGTACTCTGCCTACTGGCCTGGGAGGTAGCCTTATCTATGGATCGCTGAGACTTATTTTGCCACAGAGTTAAATTCTCAAGACTATCTTCATGACCTTGGAGTTGATAGGGAGAGATTTCTTAAATAAGATATAAAAAAAAATACTTAAGAACACTAAAGGAAAAGATTGATAAATTAGACTTTGTTACAGTTAAGAATATCTCTTCATTAGAAGCCACCAGTGATAGAATAGAAGGGAACCCACAAACTGAGAAAAGAAATTTATAAAAATGATTCAGGGCCCACATCCAGAATGTATAACTACAAACCAGTAGAAAAATACAGTCAACCCAATAAAAAACAGACACAAAATTTGAACAGGTATTTCATGAAAGATGATATCTAATTGGACCAATTAGCATATGGAAAGCTGTGCAGCCTTATTAGTCATCAGAGAAATGCAAATTAAAATCACAATGAACTATCACTACACACCCACAAGACAAGGTAGAACTTTGAAAACAGAATGACAGGAGTTGGAGAGGATGCAGAGTGACCGAAACTCAGAGAGTGAAAACTGGTGCTACCACTCTGGAAAACAGGCTGGCAATATGGACTGAAGAAGGAACACACACTTATCCTCAGACCCAGAAGTTCTCAGCGATGAATGCATTCGTCCACTGAACGGCACACACTAAATGTTTATTACATTCATGATAGCCCAAACTGGAGATGACGCCAACATCATGCTTAGTAGACAGGAATATATGCACACTATGGACTCCCAGACAGCCATCCAGCGGGTAGGGCTGTGTCGATATTGTGGCATGAATGAATCCCACAAACAACTATAAGCAGATGAAGCCAGGCACAAAATAGAACATACCACATGATTCCATTTTCCTAAGGGTCAAAGTGGGCAAAACTAACCTATGGTGATAGAGAAATTAGAATGGTAGGTTCCTTTGGGAAGGAGGCAAGGGGTAGGAAAAAACATTATCTAGAATCTGAAGTTTAAAAATCAAAATAGTTTCTCCCACTGTGTTGCGGGTTTTTTCTCTGCTTTGCTTTTTGCAGGTAGAAAGTTCTAGGGCAGGTAGTATTTCTGAGGTAGGCTCTGCCTAACTACACACACCTCTCTCATTGGCAACGAGCCAAGCAGGAAATCCAGGGAAAGCTCAGGTAGAAACTGTCCTAGATAAGGATTTCATTCTGGCTTCATGAAAGATTTCCACTAGCAACTCTGCTTTTTGTCTCTTTTTAATTTTATTTATCTAGCATTTCATTTACTATGTACCAGGCACTGTTCAAAGTGGGTCATTAACAAGTTCAATGTTGGGTAGCAGAGCAGGGTGACCATAATCAGTAACAATGCATTGTACTCAGATGATGGACACCTGAATACTCTCCCTTGATCACTATACCTTATATGTATGTGCAATGAATTTCCACAGGACTCCACAAATATTTTGTGCAAAAAAAAAATAATGAAAAAAAATCAAGATATGTCATTAATATTCACATTTTTATATATTTATTTTTTGGTAGAGACAGTCTTACTGTATTGCCCTTGGTAGAATGCCATGGTGTCACAACTCACAGCAACCTCCAGCTCTTGAGCTTAGGCAATTCTCTTGCCTCAGCCTCCTGAGTAGCTGGGACTAAAGGCGCCTGCCTCAACACCCGGCTATGTTTTTGTTGCAGTTTGGCTGGGGCTGTGTTTGAAACCACCCTCGGTATATGGGGCTGATGCCTTATTTTTTTTTTGGAGGCAGTTTCACTATGTCGCACTCAGTAGAATGCTGTGATGTCACAGCTCACAGTAACCTCTAACTCTTGGGCTTAAGTGATTCTCTTGTCTCAGCCTCCCAAGTTGCTGGGACTACAGGCACCGGAAACAGTGCCCAGATATTTTTTTGTTGCAGTTGTCACTGTTGCTTAGCAGGCCCAGGCCTAGTTCATATTCGCCAGCCTATGTGTATGTGGCTGGCAGTCCTAACCACCAAGCATGGGGCCAAGCCTAATATTCACATATTAAATGTGTTAACCATTTGTTCATTCAGCCTACCGGGGACTTGCTAAAGTACTAACCTCTTTATGGAACACTCCCTCTGCGCCACGTGGTAAGCTAAGTTCTCAATTTTCACCTGAGCTGGGGAAGATGTTTGTTCCCATTACAGAGTAGGAAACGGACTCAGAGAAGTGACTTGTCCAAGGTCACACAGCTAAGTCTATGGCAGAGTTGAGAGTCTGGTCATCTGTCAACCAAATCATGTTGCAAGACTCGTAGAAATACGAGGTTTCTTAGGTCCCAACCCTCACCTAATAAATCAGAAACTCTGGCCTGAGGGTAGCGTCCCACACAGCAGGGCACAGGGCTGGACTCTTGGAGATGAGGGAAGTGGCCTGGATTGCTTTCCTTTGCTTGTGGATAGGGGGAGGTCCCTCACTCCCTTCTGGTCCTTGGGCACATGTCACGCCCCCTTCTCTGAGAAGCCCTCCTTGACAACCCCGACCACTGCCCAACAATGCTAACCCCTTTGCTTTGCCTTAGTGATCTTCCTTGCATCTCTTGGTCTTGTATATGAACTAGGCTGAACCGCACAAAGTTGTCTTTCCTGCATGTTAAAAATAGTTGAAAGGGGGGCGTTGTGTCCCGTCCAATTTAAGCGCTTCCCTCTACCAAAATGTCAGATCCAGGAGGGCTAAGATGTTTGTGTTGTTCATAACCCTGTCCCCAGACAACGCCTGGCACACAGTAGGCACAGGAGAAATGATGGGTAGGCGGCTGAAGGAACCTGACCGCTCCAAGGAGCTCAGCAGCCGACAGAAAAGCCCCGCCAAGCCGGAGGGCCCCGGGGGGCGCCGCCCAGGACCCCGCAATCCTGGGCGCCTTCCCGGCACGGCGGCCAGCGGGGTGGGGCTCGCCGTCATCCATTTACCAGCCTCGCCTCTCCGACAGGTGCGCGGTTAATGAGATTAGCAATTAAAAAGCGGGCTGGCTCCGCAGGCGCCGCGGGGCCACCGCCAGCCCGAGCCGGGGAGCACCGAGACCGCGGTGGCGGTCGCCGGCGCGGGAGCGGAGCGGGAGTCCGCGGCCATGGAGAAAGCGCGGCCGCAGTGGTCCAACCCGCTGCAGTTCGTGTTCGCCTGCATCTCGTACGCCGTGGGGCTGGGCAACGTGTGGCGCTTCCCCTACCTGTGCCAGATGTACGGCGGAGGTGAGTGCCCGCGTCCCCGCGCAGCCCGGGGGCTGGCCCGGCCTTACGGACCGGGAATGACCGACCGCGGGACAGCTCGCTCCGGAGCGGGAGCTCCGTGCCAGCCGCCCGCCGAGCCTCCGCAGCTCCTCACCCCACCCCGGGGCGGCCGAGCGCCCGCCGCTCCCGGCCGCCAGGCTGCGGCTCGGGGAGCCCGGGGGGCGCGGGGACGCGGCCGACCTCCTGGAGAGGAGGAGAGGCGGCCACAGCCTAACCGCACGTTTAAGTGTAAAAAGTTAAGTAGGAAATTGCTTTATTCAACAGGCACCTCTTGTACAGCTTTCAGATCCGAAACTTAAATACCCCGGGAGCACAGGATGAAACTCGGGTTAAACGCTCTTGAGCTATTTCTTGAAATTTTTCTATAAAGAAATTCGTTTGGAACCACAGGAGGCAGGAAAGGCAATCATTCTATGTCGGGGTGGGGTGTTTGTTTTTTAACAAATTCTTCCTCTGAAGCATCACTGCACACACTCTCAGCCGCACACCTTAGCGTCCTAGACAGCTGGGAACACCTTGTCTATGACATACCAAAGAACCTCGGTGAAGGCCAAGTTCTTTCTTTTCCAAGGCAGAGTCTCAAGAGAGATTCAAGTCTCAGCAGTTAAAAAAAAAAAAAAAGCTTGTCCTCAATTGTTCCATTTCTAGAATTCTACGTAAAGAAAATAATCAGAGTTCTGACAGAGTTAGAAAATTAAAGCATGGTGACCATCATTTGATAAGAGCCCTCAGCTAACGGGGATTGGTTCAATCACAGAGCATTGAATCATCCATTCAATGGTGCTCTTTGCATCCATAAAGGTAGCACTTTCAAAAAATGTTATATGAGTATTTTCTCATGTCGTATGTTCAGTGGGGGGGAGAAGTTAGACTTAAAGCTGTATAAAATGAGTATAAAAATTTAAACAATTCTTTGAAAACATGCAGAGAAAAGAAAAAATACACCAAATGGTTAACTGTAGTTATCTCCGGGTGATTTTTGTTTTATCTTGCTGAGAGAGACAGAGAGAGAGAGAATCACATGGGGTTTTTTCACTATCAAATAAGACCAAGACTTAAGCATTGCTCCCTCTTCTCACCCTCACCAGCTCAAGAGCAACTCAAAGGTTAATCCATAAAATTTTCTTTTTTTAAAAAAAGTATATTCTTAATTCCCCAATTTTTTTTATTTGAAGTACATACTAAATACATCATAATTATGTGAAGGGCAAGTGTTGCCTATGCTGTAACAGCTTTAGAACTGACTTGTGAAAGAATTATTTGGCAGACTGAAATTTCTGCACCATTTGGTCCTCTGCACACCTACCCATGGGTGTCTTTATCCTGGGTACCCGTTTTTCAAGCATCAGGCCAGATGAGCCTCACTGTCACATGGTCATTTGATCCCCTGTTTATAACCCTACGATCACCTGCATGGTCTGCAGAGGGACACAGGTAGGGCTGAGTGGTTCTGAAGTAGAATAATTATCAAAGAGTTGCTTGGGAAACCTCAAGGCCTTTAGGGCCCAAGACAAAGAAATGAGAAGAACTCTGGTTTCTGCTACAGAGGATAGTGAGGCTGGCTGGGTGGATATATGGATGGATGGATGCTGGGCAGAGGTGGCTGGTGACTGCATGGATTAGTGGGATAATGAACAAATGAATGGAATGGATGTGGGTCAGTGGATGACGCCCTCTCAGACAAGTGTCATAAAAACCAAACAGCTCTGGTATAGTAGGCCTTTCCTACTTAACACCCATCCAACTCTTCCAAACACTCTCAGTCCATGAGTGCCAAGTTCTGTTCCTCAACTCTTTGCCCAAGATATTTCTCTGCCTGGGATGCTGTTGTTGCCTGGGGAGCTCCTACTATTCCACAGGGAGAGTCCAAGAGTTACTTCTT